GGCCTAGATGTGCCACACCTCGGTCTAGGTCATACCACTCCAGGACAAGATCACTTGGGTGCAAAGGTAACATCTCGGCCCAGATAATACACATCTCGGCTTTGGTGATTCATACCTCGGCCTAGATAATGACATCTCGGCCAATATGTCAAAGCAAAGGTGGAGGTCAAACAAAGGGGTTCCAAGATACTTCTAGACTGAGGATGACCTCGGCTTGGAATGATCTAGGCATAACGTAACCTAGGCTTGGCATAACTTCGGCTTAACATAACAGGGAAGGGCAAATCATGCAAACAACACTTAGACAAATCACATAAACACAAAGCAAGACAAGATTCATGGATGCAAACTTAGCAAGGCAAAGTTGTGTAAGTGAACATGAACATGACTACAACATGAATATGGGTTGCTACAGCAATCTTGACATGGCAAAACATACAAATGCATGCAGCATGACTAGGACAAAGATGTTGGTTGTTCCATCCTTCCCCCCTTAAAGGAGTTTGGTCCCCAAACTTCACTTACCTTGTTCCCAAAATGCCTCCTGATGTCAAGTTCTCATCCTTGCTTATCCCCTCTAGCCTTTATCTTGGGACAATCCTTAATACGATGACCTCTCTCACCGCATCCGAAACATGCTCCAGTCGCCCGAAGACAAACCCCAAAATGTAGCTTCCCACAACTCGCACATGTCGGCCTGTGTTACCTTCCTGATTCGCGCTGTTGGGACTATCCTCCTCTGTCTTCTCCTCGGCATCATTCGGGTCTGCCTCTTCTTCGCGGTTGTCGTAGGTCTGCCTCTTTCGCTGATTCTTCCCCGAACTTTGACTTCTGTTCAGGTTGGCTTCTGCAAGGATGGCTTTATCTAATACTCCAGCATACGTCGGCATGTCGAGCAAGTTAACCTGATCTTGTATTGGCCCTCGAAGTCCACTCTTAAACTTCCTAGCTTTTCTGTACTCGGTGTCGACCATGTGAGGGGCATACCTTGCCAACTCAGTGAAAGCACGATCATACTCTGCCACTGTTTTGCTACCCTGTGTCAACATCTGAAATTCTGTAGTCTTGCGATCTCGAACACTAAGTGGGAAGTGTTTGTCATAGAACAACTCCAAAAATCTGGTCCAAGTCAAGTCTGGGTTGCCTTCTCGAATCATCATCCACCATCTACGAGCGTCGTCTTCCAATGTGAATGCTGCTAATGACACCTTCTGAGTGTCGGTGCTGGGAAAAACCTCGAACAACTTCTCCATCTCAAGAATCCATGCTTCTGCCTTCATCGGCTCTATACCTCCCTGGAACTTCGGTGGTTTCATCTTCTTGAATTCTCTGATCAGGGTCAATGTGTCATCTCCATACAAAGCTGGCTGCGGAGGCACTTGTGGTACTGGCGGGGGTGGAGCTGCATGTCGGCCATCTGTCTGCTCGGCCTAGGTGGATGTGGTACCGGTGTTCTGCTGCCTTGCTTGCCTTAACTCATCGGCCAAACCTTCAACCAATCTTTCTAATCTGTCTATTCTGTCCTCAGATTGATCTCAGCCAACTGGGGGTCTACCTCTTCTCATGATGCTGGGGGTATGCAGGATGCGACTCTTAGAACCAAGCAAACAATGCACATGCATGCAAGTGAACCTGATCATGCCGATGTAACAAATGCTCATGCCGAGATGATGCACACCTTTTCAAGTAGCAAGCAACATGATGCAATCCTAACATTCTTCTAAGGGACATCCTATGCTCTTTAGGACCCAAAGTGTGTGAATCACGTACTATAAGGAACTTGTGCTCTAATACCATTCTGTCACGACCCCAAACTGCCCCTAGTAGTTTGGTGCCGTGATGGCCAGTAATCCGTAATTACCAAAGGCCAACTTCCAAAATTCACACACAATCAGAGTATATATATATGGGGCTCACAAGTGCGGAAGCAATAATTCAAAATACAAGTGGTCCATAAGAGCAGTGCATAAGTCAAATGAAATGGCATACATCTTTACATAGCTTTACAACTTGAATACATATAGAAATGAAGTACAAAAATACATATTACATCTTAACAAAAGGGCTTCTCAAGCCGACATGTTCAAACACAAAAGCTTCAAGATTGCCGACGTCCTTACTACCGACATAACATGCATACAAGACACACATCTCGGCGTAGTCGACTTCTTACTTGTTACCTACATACATACATAGGGAGGGTGAGCTTGGATACTCAGTGAATGGTATAAGTAATAAATTGTACCATGGATACTTCTAATAAGGTAAAGTGTCATGCCCAACCCACATCGCCTCCCTCAGTGAATCTTGACTCCCCTTACTCAACCCCAACATTGTGTTCATTTGGGTACCTATCATCTCATGAAGATAATAAGTATGAATGCAAATAAATAAGTAAAGTTCTCTAGAAAATTTTACAACAAAAGAATATGTTTAATAATTATTTATCAATTACACCAACACCAGTAGAACCAACAAAATGGGAATAAAGTGCAAAGTAATAATTGAAAGTTATGTGATTTGTTTTCTTTGGTCATTCATTCTTCTTGCTCCCCCTATCCCACAATACCCCAATTTGGTTTTAATAAACCCAAACATCAAAGATTTCACATAATTTTTTTTTAAAAAAAAGGAAAGAAGTTAAAACAACTATTTTAAATGAATCTCGTTACACAGCACTCTTACACGTCATGTAATCTTCTTGTGTGAATTAAGAAACTTGAACCTCATTCTCCAGTTACCCAGATCAACTAATGAAGAAGCATCAGAACTCCCTACGAGGGCATACGTCATGAGAACATCGTGTATTTGTCACTCAATCAACAAAACTTACATTGGTTGAAGCACAACAAAATACCTTTCCAATAGCCTTAACAAAATGCCAACACATCAATGGAAACAAGAGAACAAAGGCGTCCGGTTAATCTCTCCTTTACAAAATTAAGATAGAAGCAAAGGATAGAACAAGCCTTGTCTTTAGAACTTTTATTGCACACACCCACACATGAAGCAAAACACACAAGAGCCCCTAATTTTTCCAATAGACAAAAAATATGAGGTGGCATCTTTGGGAATCTTCTATAACCCTACATTGGGAACAAGTCCAAAACAAAATTTTCCGAAGCACACCTTACACAAAATCATGAAAGTCATCGATAACTATGAGCTCTCTCTTCATTTCTAAAACTCTTTCTTCATTTGTTTTAAGGGGAGAGGAGAAGGATAAACTAACCCCCAGGCTTGTCTTGAGTTAGAAAAAGAAATGGCCTTTCAAACTAGGGGTCAAACTTTTTGTAGTTCAGAAAGACAGTAATCTGATTTCTTTCAATGAAATCAGACGAGGGGCGAGGGAAAGGAAAAGTGGGATGTGGATTCCTTTTGTTCGCTTTCAATGCAGTAGAGGCAGCGCCAAATGTAGAGAGATAGAGACAGAGACAGAGACAGAGACAAAGACAGAGACAGAGAGAGACAGAGACAGAGAGAGAGAAAAGAGATAATGATTGAGAGTTCTAGGATTTCTAAGGTTACATGGCTAGGTTTGACAATTGTCCTTGTCCTGAAATTTGAAATCCTAAAAACTACGAGCCATGTCACACCCCCAACATGAATTTGCTAACAATTGCTAATCTGATTAAACCTTAGTCAATGATTTGTGATACAACTAACAAGTGACAGCAACAAACTGTCTGTCATTCCAAACTAGGCATTCAAAATTTGAAAAGTTCATCTTGGTTTTACACATTAAATCATGATTAGTCATATACTACAATACCATGATGAGATGCATTTGCAGGAATACATCAACAAGAAAGCAGATCTTAATATACGAGCTTTATGAAACTATTAAGCGTATACCTTGATATGAGAAAGAAATCAAATATACCACAAACAAGTTATTCATAGAGCCACAGAGTCTAGAGACGGGTGAACAGAACCATTGGCGAGCACAAGAATGTCTACATACCAACAAGATTCATGCTGCTTCAACTTCTTCAAGCATCATTGGTCAACTTCACTTGATTGGGCAAGGGCAATCAATCTTCTAGAACATTGGCACACTCAATGTATTAATTTGCTTTACTATTTTCAAATCAATCCCTCGCTGCTTTCGAGCTCTAGTTGAACCAAGACAAGTTGGAAGAAGTTTGACAGATATTCGTATGAGCCACAGAGAAAAGGTGGAAACGATTAATTTCCAGAGAGGTGAAGCAACAGTGATTGAATCAACAAAATCAACTTCCTTATTTCTGCTAAAATTTGAATATTGAATCAAACTACACAAAGAAAATATACATATAATTGTATCTGATCAACATGGACTGGCAAAAACAAAAAAAAAAATCGTCCAATGACAAGCACTTACTATATAAGAACATATTCAACACCTAAGCTGGCACCAAAATCCAGACACCGCCAAACATATGCAAACACAAAGAAATACATATAGAAACAATAGCAGATGATGTTTCTCTTACATATCTTACTACTTCAAGACCCCTGTCTACAACTATCTCATGAACAACATTAAGACTACTTCTCATGTTATCCCACAGTTTCTCCAGCAAAAACTCCAAGAAAGATCTAACCGTTTCGAATGTCACCCTCCCAGTCAAATCAAGAACAAGCTTCCTATTGCTCGGTACTGCCACAGTAGAAGACATCTTATTCACCCAACCATGGTCCTCATTTTCATAAAACGATTTTCTTGCTTTTGGATCAGTTTATGGTGGTTTAAAAGTAGTCTGACACTCAAAATTATCAATAGCCGAATATGAATAACTTGAATTTGAATTAGCACCTGTCAAAACATGGTTAGATGTTTTGATAAGAGTTTCTACTCCACCATTACAAATTGATCCCAACATATCTTTCAATTTCCTTTCATGCTTGGGATTAGTCAACCCTAAAAACAATTCATCGTATGGATTGACATTCATCATCTTGTCTAGATAAACAGCAATCGTTGTGCTCACAAACTGATGGATACAATCGCCGATGAGCTATCTGAACTTTTCATCACATATGGCATTTGCCCACTTGGGGCCAGAATTCAATTCTGAATCATTATGGTCAAGACTCGTTGAATCCTTCGTGTTTGATCCCCAACTAGGCTCTGCATCATAATAGAACGCCACGACCATGTTTCTAGCAAAGCTCCCAACAACAGCAGAAGCAAAACTAGAAGCAGATGTCAAAAATAGCTTATCCAAAACCTGGTCTAGAAAGCTTGAATTGGCACTCATTCCATCATCCTTCCTTGATTCTGATCCATACCCTCTCAAAATTCCAACAGTTAAAGCACTTGAAACTCTAACAACAGACTCTGAAAACTCCTCTGACCGGATAATCTTAGAAATTTGCCTCAAACTATTGGGGATTTTGTCCAAATCTGATTGCACAAACTCTTTTAGATCTTTTGAGACAACCCCAATTGCCTCAGCTGAATCGGGCACAGTTTCTGCAATTGAAATCAGGGCTCCCAAGAGCTTCAACAACTTTTTTCTCTTTTTAACCACAGAAGGCGAGTGATAAACCTTACAAACCCCATAACCTGTAAAACCCAAAGCTGCCAATAGAAGAAACCACTTCCTCTTTTTCTGGGTATATTCTTCACTAGTTGTAAATCCATATAATACAAAAATTGAATTGTGGGTTTGGATCGCAATCAAAAGTTAAAGGGTTTCCAAATCAAAAAGGGTAATTGAACAAGTGCGTGGTTCCAACTAGGGTTTTAAATTCAAACAATACAAGATTGAATTGTAGGATTGGATTGTAATCAGAAAGGGTAATTGAACAAGTGAATGGTTCTTGCTAAAGTTTTAAATCCACACAGAGACAAGATTTAATTGTGGGTTTGGATTGTAATCAGAAGTTGAAGGGTTTCCAAATCAAAAGCAGTAATTGAACAAGCGAATCGTTCCAGCTGGGGTTTTAAAACCATACAACCCAAGATTGAATTGTGGGTTTCGATAGTAATCAGAAGTTTAAACAAAATAAATAAATCAAAAAAGGGTTTCCAAATCAAAAAGGGTAATTGAACAAGAGAATGGTTTTAAGTCCACACAAGCAAAGATTGAATTGTGGGTTTGGATTGCAATCTCACAAGTAAAAAAAGGGTTTGCAATTCAAAAAGGGTCGACAAAGTAATTGAACAAGTGAATGGTTCTAGATAGGGTTTTCGATTGACATACTTCAGTAACTACATTTATACACATATACATACATAAGAAAACACATATACACAAGTGTTTGGATAAGCATTGTAGAGCATGTATGTATATGAATATGACAAACCTGGGGAGAGAGAGAGAGGGAGAGAGATATTGATGTCAGGGCGGTTGGAGTTTGGTAGTGGCGTCTCATGCAGGGAATGGAGAGTGAAAGTGTGCACGTAGTGCTCGGATTGAACAGAGTCGATAAGCTCAAACAACCACTAGCAAATCAACAAAACAGAAAACATAAAACAAAACAGTGCTGCACCCAAATTTTGAAGCCTTCAATTTTAAATTTTTTTATTACAATAATAACTTCACATAAAATTATTAAAAAGATATCATTAATTTTAGGGACTCCATCTCACAATTAAACCTACACACTCACTACATTATAATTAAGATTTATGAAAGTACCCCCCTTCACCACCACCCATCCTTCTTCTCCAAGTCTCACCTTCAAAACCTACCTATCCTCAAAACCTTGAAAACTCTTTGACAGTAATATTCCGGCGATAATAGTGACAACCATTTGACTATCTACACTTCTTCGACAATGGCAATATTCTGACGATAACAGTGACAATCCTTTGGCGAAATGCAGGCATGAACAATACTTATTTGTTCGGGATGGCATTCCGGATCAAATAAGTAATGTTCGGGAATGTAGGTTCAAACATAAAAATTTCTTAACACATTAAACGGTCAAAATTATTAACGCTTGCAGAAGTTTTTATTTTTTCAAGTTTGGGAATACAGGCCCGAACATTACTTATTTGTTCGGGAAATCCCGAACAAATAAGTAATGTTCGGGAATGTTCCACTTCTGATACTTTTGCAAATGTTAAATTTTTTGACCGCTCAAAATTGTTAGCGCTTGCAAAAGTTTTCATTTTTTCAAGTTCAGGAATACATGCCAAACATTTCTTATTTGTTCGAGAAGGCATTCCCGAACAAATAAGTAATGTTCGGGAATGCAGGTCCGAATATGGAAATTTCTGAACTCATTGAATGGTCAAAAATTTTAACATTTGCAAAAGTATCAGAAGTGGACCAAATCTATTATCAGGTTCAAAAGTTATTCCTTCATAACGTAATTTTGATAATATTGTTGCGTAATTCTCTACCGAACTCACAATTTTATAATATCTATCAACAAAACTAACTAAACCAATTATTATAATTTTTTCATGCAAGAGAATAAATTATTACCAAAAAACTAAGAAATTATGTATATATAGAGAGACAGAGGGCATACCAACTATGACAATGGTAGATGAGACAGTAGAGAGAGTAATCACATTGGCTCTTTTTCTTCTTGATGGATTTTGTTAGGATTTTTTGGAAGATTGACTCTTCTTCTTCTTGATGGGTTTTGTTAGGATTTGTTGGAAGATGGATTTTTTTGGGGTGTAGAGGTGTGCATTCAATGGGTGGAATGTTTTCACAAGAATAATTTTGGTATTATTTGAGAGAAGAAATTTTGAGATTTTCAAAATTTATAAATGGGGGCCCAAAGAAATGGAAGGTCCAAAATAATTCATGGGGTGATAATCGCACCACTCCAAAAAAAAAAAAATTTGTCTATTTTTATGGTGACGAAAATGCCCTTCATTTTGAATCATTATACCTAAATGGCCCCCATTCTTTTTGCTTCCAGTGTGCTAGTGCCACTTCATAGCTTCATCTCCCCACTTCTGTGCTTTCCGACACCACCCACAGCCCGGGGCTTTTCCCAAAATACGTTAAAATAGCAACCTATTTCTCAAACTAGGCCTACTTTGGACAAAATTTCCAAAATAAGCTAAAACGTTATTACAAATCACGCTTTCACCGTTTTTGTAGCCCAGCCACAAAAAATTGATAGAATCGTAAAAGTGTAACCACGCTTTTAAGGAAATATGTTTTGTAAAAAAAGTGTAATTTGAAACCACGTTTTTAAATAAAATTGTTTTGTAGCCAAAATATAAGACAAGTAGGGAGGTAGCTCAAATGGTAGTGTGTTCCTTTCCATGGAAGAGGTACAGGGTTCAATCCCTCGTATCTTCAAACTCTTGTTTTTTCAAATTCAATTTAATTTTTTTTTTTCCCTTCCACTTACTCTATAATTTATATATTTATTATGTAATTTTTTTTATCAAAAAAAAGTAAAACATTTGTTTGGTTAACTAATATTTATAATAAAAATTATATTTAAAATAATTTTTTTAAAATTTTTTAATATTTAAAATATTAAAAAAAATTACAACACGTCTAATTCTTTTAATTAAGTTTATATCGTAATCGCAAGCTTAAATATAAAGTAGTGTTGTATTTGTTCTTAATTATATTGCGTAAATTATTGAAAAACTTTACTTTTCATTTTTATATTTCAAATAATATAATTTTTATTATAAATATTTTATTTATAAAATATATATTTTAAATACTTTAATTGTTTTGTTATGTGTGTTGATTTACTCGCGCTTCGGACGGAGAACGCTCTTTTATGAAAGTAAGGATAAGCACACTCGATTATTTTGGGTTTGGAATGAGCGTTCTATTATATATGATTTTTTGAACCTGAACTTTTTCCGAGTGTCTGTGTGTGTGAGTTTAAGAGATATAGCGCAGTGTGGATATGTTATTTGAGTTAAAATATTAAAAATATAACTCAAATTAAATTTTTATATATATATTTTTCAATTATAAATATTAGTTAACCAAACAAATGTTTTACTTTTTTTGATAAAAAAAATTACATAATAAATATATAAAGTATAGAGTAAGTGAAAGGAAAAAATAAAAATAAAATTGAATTTGAAAAAAGCAAGAGTTTGGAGATGCGAGGGATTGAATCCATACGTCTCCCATGAAAAGGCACACACTACCATTTGAGCTACCTCCCTACTTGCCTTGTATTTTGGTTACAAAACAATTTTATTTAAAAACGTGATTTCTAATCACATTTTTCTTTACGAAAAACATATTTCTTTAAAAGCGTATTTTGTAATTACGCTTTCTTATTTAAAAACGTGATTTATAATTACGTTTTTATAATTTTATCAATTATTCGTGATTGGGCTAGAAATATGCTGAAACGTGATTTATAATAACGCTTTAACTTATTTTGAAAATTTAGTCTAAATTAAACTTAATTTAAGAAATAAGTTGCTAGTTCCCCCACAGCCCTCTTTCTCTCGCTCTCAGAGTTTGTTTGGGTACTAGTCTTTGAGAGAGAAAGGGGGTATAAAGGTAGTGGAAAACAATGAGTACAGGAACAAGCACCTTTGTAATCAGATGGATCAAATTTTTTTTTTTTTTTTTTGATAAATATCAGATGGATCAACTTTCTTGCAATGGTACAACTCCCATTTCAGTTTCTCTTCCTTAATTTCCACTTGATTCTCTACTATGTTGTTTAATGACCCTGATTTTTATTTTACCTTATATGCACTTTTCTTCTGCTGGTGATAAGTTTTCCCTGTTGGGTTTTGTGTCTGTCCGTTCTTCATTGGCCATGCCTGCTTAAAATCTTCTTCATTTCTATTGGGCTTCGCTCAGTGTTGTAATTTTTTCTTGTTACTGTTTGGAATTTGGGTTTCTTGGTACCATAGTTTACTATTGTTAACTTTGAAATCCTCAAATTTTGCTCTTCTACTATATTTATTCTGGAATACCTAATTTCAATGGCTGTTTTTGGGTAGCTCTAGTGATTGTGCAATAGAAACAAACAACTTGTACACATTTAGGAGAGAATTGTTTTGTTTTGATTATCAGGTGTTTATACTACATAAATTTTTTTTTTTTGGTAGCTATTAGCTGTTGCTGTAATAGGTTTTGGGGTATGGTGAGCACTCATCATGTTGGCTGTCGAAAGTCTCTCACTCTCCCAGTTCAAGGCCTCGGTGCCATCATATTTGTAATGTAAAATCTGTAATTTCTTTTAGTTTCTGGGATTCGTTCTTAGGGTTGTTTTGGAAACTAGTTATTTTTGTTGACTTTTTGGTTTTTTATGAAAAGATCTGTAAAAAGAATAGAAAGAAAAGTTAACTTTTTGATAGTGACTTTTTGGCTATTTTAATAGGTTGTCAAAACAACTTTTAGTTTTATACTGCAACTTTACATTGTTACACAAAGACCTATTTTTGTTTGATATTTAGATCCATAGTTGGGTTCTTGGGCGCGTTGAAGAACAACTCCATATTGTTATGGATTGTATCCTTTTCATATGATTTTTTTTTTATGGACATTATATCTTAGGATGCCTTTTTTCTTCATTCTCATCTTCCTTTTTCCCTACTTTTTTCCTTTTTTTGCACCTTCCTTGACTTTCTGGCTTGCAATATTTGATCCTATTGTGCTTCATTTTGGTTGGAATCTTGGTCTTCACAGTGTTGGCGCAAGTATTTCTGGTTCAAAAACTGGATTGATTTTCGCAATGACATTAGATCCCAGAAAAATGAGCTTCCTATAATGATTTTTGTTTTTCCTAGACCGTTGTACCATTTCTTCATTAAAACTTCTTTGTCAATTTCACATACAATTTGAAGTAATGTTTTTGGTTGTTATTTTCACAATACAACTGGCGTACAAGTATAATTTTTCACCTAAGTACCTTTTCTTTTATTCCATATAGCCAATCTCATTCTTACTTTCTGTTCATATTGTAATTTTGATTTGCACTTGCGGTACTTGTCCGTCAATTTTTTAAGTAGGTTATTAGAATTATACCATATTGCACTTTTTTCAGTTATCACTCTTGATATTGTAGTATACCACTTAATTCAATTACCTTGTTTGTAGGGAATGTTTTACCATTTTCTTCTTTCTTTCATTTCTTTGTTGGCAATTTCACATCTTCTGTTCTCTTGATGAGGGGCCTCTATTATGCCTGTGGAGAACGGTGGTCCTTTTGGCAAATAGTGCAGTAGATTTGTCCAACGACATAATCATTCACTCCTCTATCTTGATTCAAGTTTCAAATGTATCTAAAATTTGGTAGCATAACGTAATTGCAGATTACAAATTACCATAGCAATTGTAATGATCAACTTTGTGGAACTCCCTCACTTGGTTAGATAAAGATAATTCCACCCTAGAACTAAAACAACTATATAAAGCTATGGAAGCATACACTTCTTCTCAAAGCAAGCTCTTCAGGTCCTGGTTTGCTGGTCCAGTTCTCCAGTCAAATTATTAATGATATTACCAATCAGTGAACTGCTAATTGGTGAGGGAGGTCAATTACTTTTGGTGTGAAATTTTAGGTGATCTATAGATAGGATTTGTTATTTAAAGAGACTATGCTCTTGATCTTGAACAATGGGTGAAACTAGAGGTCTGCTTGCTTTTCAAATATTGAATGCTATTAGTATTTCTTCTTTTGAATTAGGAGGCTTTCAATTATCCTGAAATGGAAATGGACATAGGGATTAAAGGATGTGGTATCAGTTTTGTGGCAAACTGTGGTTTCATTGAAAACTGAAGCTGCTGCAGATGCTGTCCATGTATAAAGTTATCATGCCCATCTACCTTGCTATTAATCAGTGTTGTTAACATCTTTTCCTGTTTCTGTTTATTATTCTAATTAAACAGTATCCTAAAATATCGTTCTGTGATTTTAAACGGCTTCAGATTGAACTGCTACATTCAACTGGTTTTATTAACTCCTTTGATATTTGCTCTAAGTTGTTCTGGGCCAATTTGTATTGCCTCCTCACTGTTGGATTAAACCAGAGCATTTTGTGAAAGGTTTACGCAATGAATAATATATGGCGAAACATAAACAAAAGTGACATCCTTTTCTTTTTTACTTTTCATTTTTTCTCGTTTCATTCTTTATTTCCTGATAAATTTAGGAATATGCCTCTATTATCAACCGAAATCTTAAAGAGTAAGTGTTGAGGAGTGGTGGTCCACTTCTCCACAAATGCTCATTGTCCATACCATTTACAACATGGTATATGCTATGATCAATTGGGATCACCCATTGCATTACAGTTCATGACAGTCAGTCTTTTCTTCCTCATTGTCAACTTGTCTTTGTTATTCAACTTTTCGAGACAACATAAGCAGAGAGAACAGACCAGCCTTTGGACTCCAACAAATCCTGTTTAGCATCCTGTAAATAACGACTCACTACCTCATCTACTTTCTCTTCTGTGAGTCCATCAACATCACTTAGTACCTCTCTTGCCCATTCATTTGTAACATTCTGCATAAAAACATTTACTTATATGTCATGGGCTAAATTTATAGAACAGTTTAACCAGCCTTTGAGGGAAGTTTTTAACCTTTAGCTGCCCCAAACCGGATGAGACATTAACAATTCTTGCAGAACCAGAGAGCTGAAGAAGTGGAATGAGAGCTTGAGACAGCTGTTTAGGTCCATAGTAATTTGTTCGTAGACACCCTTCTGCTGTTTCATAGGTTTGTTTTATAACCTTTTTTGCCATTTCAGCCTTCTCACCTACAATCTATATCATTTTTAGAAGATTAAAATCCTTGATGTATACAATACGCATAATTTTTTTGTTGAAACCCAGAATCCGGTAATAGACTTGCCTCTCCAGACTTAAGCTTTAAACTAGTAAAAGACTCCGCATCCATTATGACTCCAATGACCCCTGCATTGTTGACCTGCCAAGAATTTACATCCATACATGTTAGTGAGCAATTACCCACTAGATAGCTATAGACAAATTTAGTTTCAATCAATTTAGTTTGCTTCCAATCTTACCAATATGTCGAGCTTTCCGAATTTATTTTTGATGTAATCTGCTAAAGAAGCAATACTAGCAGAGTCTGTAACATCAAGTTGATGAAAAAAAATATCAGATAGCCCACAAGCTTTGAGATTTTCAACAGCTTCAGTACCCCTCTTCTCATCTCTAGCTGTTAAGATCACCATGACTTCATTGGAAGCTAACTGTCTACATATCTCTAATCCAATTCCTTTGTTGCCCCCTGTTACTACTGCAATCCTGAAAATCAATTAAGCTAAACAAACCCATTACTTGGAGCATTTAAGGAGTTGTCTTGTGAAATCTGATGACTGTAATAACCTGTCCAAAAAATATTAGGTCCACTTTGCTTCTTTAAATTCTCATTTCTCGTCTGTTCCTAATGAATTAATGGCGAAGTTTTTACCTCTCATTGTGGACTCTTAAACAATGCAAACTGGCAAAACTAACCCCCATTGAGGCTGGTTGTTGTTGACCGCCATCTGAGTACATCCCTTATCCTTTCTCGTCTAAATAATTACATTTTGGTCTCTCTCTCTCTCTCTCTCTCTCATACATTATTTTCTTTTCCTTTTCTTCTGGGGTTTCAATTCCTTAGGTGTGGTTATCCTGCTGTTAATGCTTACAAAAATTCCAAGGCAATCAAGTGCTACAATTGTGATTCCTGCAAGTAAACATCACTACTTTCCCATCTTCTCCCTCTATTACCTCTGGTATATGAAATTCTCATTTCCCTTGGCTTTTCCTGTATATCATGCTCCCAGGGCAAAAGTTGCACAATACATGAAAACTGAATGGAGGGTGGTTGCAATCTTTAATGGGGTTCTGTTTGTTGTTTTGGTGACAAACTCCTCTCCATCTAGTTTGGAACAAATCAAATTATCTTTTTCTCATTAGCGAATGAGGAACAATAGATGATATGGAATATGAATTGCATTTTATATCTTCTACTGTTGAAATTGACAAAGTGTATTATGAAAGTAGCAGAATATTTGTAGATTATCATTTTATTGACAGGCGTTTATATGATCAGGACCTTCTAATTGAGTTCATTAATTTTTCTTACAATTATCTGTTGTGAAATCAGTCATTAATCTACTTTGTGGGATGCTGTGCGAAACGAAATGCTGCAAGGAGCCACTCTGAAGTTTGAAACAGACCTATGTATCTCAAGAAATCTTCACTTGGAGGTAAATTTGTTCACATTCCTTAAAAATCACACTTTCTATCTGTAAGTTGTTTAACGTTGATAATTTTAGACAAGTAGATACACATACACCATTGTTTCTCAAGCACTGACTGGGAAATTTATGTCTGGAGCATCTCTTTTCTGAAGTACACTACAATTCTGTGAAGGTTATCATTCATGTGATTTTGTGTTAGAGAATGCAAGAAAGAATGTTGTATCCATCACATGCTTCAAAGGGAGTTATTATTATTTCAATACCTCAAAATGGTGCATTTTTTTTTTTTTTTTTCTCTTCAAAATACAACAAATGCTTGTAATTCAAGTTCGTTGCAAAAATCAGAAATTTGGGGACTGTTTATTCTTAGAAGGTTGATGATACATGCATCTCATCAAAGTAGAGCTAATTCCCGTTGGGTTCATAGGCAATTTCAACACTTAGCGGATACTAAAAGGTCGTTTCTTCCGTCTGAAAGAAGAACAGGCCAGAAGGCCCATCACCAACTGTCAAAGCCAGCTTTACAGGACCTTTTGCACCTTGTTCAGCCGTGTAGTGTCCATTATTAAAGCTCATCTCTGTTTTACAAAAGCCAGGAGTAACTGAATTTATGCCAAAATTTGGGAATTTTTTAGCTAAAACCCTCGTGTAGGCATTAAGAGCTGCTTTCGAGACAACATAAGCAGAGAGAACAGACCAGCCTTTGGACTCCAACAAATCCTGTTTAGCATCCTGTAAATAACGACTCACTACCTCGTCTACTTTCTCTTCTGTGAGTCCATCAACATCACTAAGTACCTCTCTTGCCCATTCATTTGTAACATTCTGCATAAAAACATTTAGTTATATGTCATGGGCTAAATTTATAGCACAGTTTAACCAGCCTTTGAGGGAAGTTTTTAACCTTTAGCTGCCCCAAACCGGATGAGACATTAACAATTCTTGCAGAACCAGAGAGCTGAAGAAGTGGAATGAGAGCTTGAGACAGCTGTTTAGGTCCATAGTAATTTGTTCGTAGACACCCTTCTGCTGTTTCATAGGTTTGTTTTATAACCTTTTTTGCCATTTCAGCCTTCTCACCTACAATCTATATCATTTTTAGAAGATTAAAATCCTTGATGTATACAATAAGCATAAATTTTTTGTTGAAACCCAGAATCTGGTAATAGACTTACCTCTCCAGACTTAAGCTTTAAACTAGTAAAAGACTCCGCATCCATTATGACTCCGGTGACCCCTGCATTGTTCACCTGCCAAGAATTTACATCCATACATGTTAGTGAACAATTACCCACTAGATAGCTATAGACAAATTTAGTTTCAATCAATTTAGTTTGCTTCCAATCTTACCAATATGTCGAGCTTTCCGAATTTATTTTTGATGTAATCTGCTAAAGAAGCAATACTAGCAGAGTCTGTAACATCAAGTTGATGAAAAAAAATATCAGATAGCCCACAAGCTTTGAGATTTTCAACAGCTTCAGTACCCCTCTTCTCATCTCTAGCTGTTAAGATCACCATGACTTCATTGGAAGCTAACTGTCTACATATCTCTAATCCAATTCCTTTGTTGCCCCCTGTTACTACTGCAATCCTGAAATTCAATTAACAAACACACAACAAAACTAAGGTGTTAGAGCTTAAATTTTCAACATTTTCAACATTTAAAATCAGAGAGAGAGAGAGAGAGAGAGAGAGAGAGAGAGAGAGAGAGATGTGCCTTTTTGATGGTGCAGTGGTGACTGTTCCCTCCATTTCTGAATGTAGGAGATGATAGTGGTGATGAGGATGAGGTGTGTGTAGATAATTTTGAAGTTGGGGATATCTATTTATATAAAAATAAGACTAAGAAATGAGCGTATGACACGTATGCTGTGACAACATCCTCCTTTTGTACGTAATCTGTGACATCATTGTCATATGCATGTTCAACAGGCTGCTTAAGTGATAGAAATAGGATTCTGAGTTAAGTTGAGCAGTGGATTGATTCAATTTAATTTAAATTTTAGTGAGTTCAAAATGTGTTTAAATTTAATTTGCTTACTTTTTTAGGCGATTTTGAACAAGTTTTAAAATTAAGGAAAATTTGGTCAAAGCTCCTTAATTGGACTCTTGTTTGGTGAAAAGAACAACTTAATTTATTTTGTTTCATAAACTTCCTGAGAAGAAAACACATAATTGAATAAGGACAAAGTAAAATATCTTTTTTTTTTTTTTTTCTTGAATAGTATTGTCAGAGTAACATGTTATTGTGAACCAAAGTAACATGTTGCTGTCAAATAGAGTAACATGTTACTGTCAAACAAAGTAACGTGTTACTATTACTATTTACATTAATTTTGACGGTAATAATTTTTTATTTTATTTTTTTAAAAAGAATTTTATAGTCAATATGAATTTTATTTGATAGATCTTGACGAAAGAATTCTAAAAATACTAATTTTATCAAAAAAATAGACATTTAAAGCTTAATATTTTGATAATAATGGTATGTATTGGATTTTTTAAGAAAAACATTTTATACTTGTTCTTAATGTATTAAAATTTTATTATGAGAGAATTTTGATCAAATTCTCTTTTAATTAAGGTTATGTAGTTTTGTAGTACCTACAAGTTTTTTGAACCAATATTAAAAAATTAATAATAAATTTCGAAATTTGTTCATATTTTATTTATTTATATAAAACTTTTAATGGCCATGTGAGTTTAAGTAAATTGATCTTGCACCATGAAAGGGGGAATCGCTGTTTCAACCCACTTCTCCTTATTGGAATGATTGAATAAAAAATGAGATTGGTGACCCGTTTCACCCAGGTGACATCGTTGGAGAACATTGTTGTGAGGGGAAGCTCACCGTGGTTCATTCCAAATAAGTAGTTTTGGGTGAAGTTATTATTCGGAGAGAAAATTTATATTGTTCACATTTGTGTAAACAAATTTGCACTGTGTGAATAAATTTGAACTCTTGCTTGCTTGAGAGAATGACATTGTTTAGTACAATTTATCAGAATTGTTTATAACTTTTTTTTGGGATTCCGTATCATACTATTTAGTGTAGTTTTAATTTACAGGTTATTAGATAGAAATAATTTAAATGTGTTGAAAAAAACTAATTGTCTAAAAGCTACCAAATAGGCATTAACTTGATGGGTGCCGTTTAAGTGTGCAACCCCGTTAACGTTGCACACCGTATGCAACCTAATTTTTAGCCGTTGGATTACAATAATTGATCAAGATCATGGAAATTATTTTAACAAAAGGAAACAGTGAAAAGCTTCATCATCATGCCAACTACTGTAGCAAAAGGAAACACTGAAAAAGGGGTAAGAGAACATGACAATGCATTATTTAAAGATAATTGTTAAGTGATTGAACATGCTATGTCACATTATTTTTTTTGTTCTAGAAAAATAATAAATTACAAAACATATTAATTGATCATTCATTATTTTAATTACTTAATAAAAATGATTGTTTATTATTATTATTGTTGTTGTTTTTTTTTTAACAAATAGCATGAGAAAATATTGAATCAAGATTTTGCAATTGGAAATTTGTCTTTGTTTAAAAAAAATAAAAAAATAAGTTGATTTTGATGCTTTAATTCCAGGAAAGGGCATCGAAATGTTGTATGAAATATCATTGAATTTGTGTGGATTTTTTTAATAATGGATTAATATGCAATTTGTAAATTTTTATTTTATCAATTTAATTAATCTTAAAATTTTTAAATTTGAGTCAAATTAAACTAATTTCAAATGGGATGTTAAAAATTTAATTTGATTAGCTCAATTGGCCATCACCATATACTTCAATGGGTTAATTCTAGCCAAAAGGTAAAAATTCATAGTTTCTTCAAAATTATTGTGTTTTTTTGTTGAGCTGGTTGTTGGGATTTGTAACATTATTGCTTATTTATTCTTCATGGCCTCTTTGTTAGGTGATTGTTGGACTTCTATAGTTGTTCAACTAGAATTGTTTAGATTTGATTCTCTTTACATTTATAAATAATCTCTTATTAATTTTTTTTTTTTTAAAAAAATTGCTAAAATTGTTAACATAATTGCAAACGAGAAAACATTATTTTGTTAACAATTTTTTCAGGGTACTACTAGTAACCCCATCATATTTCTTTGGTATCCCTATCTTATTAGACTTTCACTCGCTAAAATTGCTTCCTGTCTTCTTTTTTTCTTTGAACACCCACCATAATACTAAATTTACCTTTTTCTGGATCCCCACCCATGCAACTGCTTTGCACTAGCAGTTCCTCACCTCTGGCCAATGGTGACCCCCCTCCTCATCAGCGGAGTGGTGAAGGAGGTGGGGAATATAGGGGTGAGGGTCACAAGGAGGAGTTGAAGAGGAGCAGATAAGGGTGCGAAGGGTCGCCAGATCTGGGATGGTGGGAGAGAATGGTGGCTAGGATGGGAGTGGGGTGAGGTCGGTGGTTAGGGAGGAGGACAAAATTATAATTTGCTGGTATGATAAATTTGTAATAAAAAAAAAAAAATATGAAGTTGGTGGGGTCCAATGAATATCTCTGTTTGTTTGAGTTGGTTGACTATGCTACAAGTTCTCATTGTTAAACCACATGTGAATACCATCAATACTTTTGAGTAATGCCCTGATGATCAATCTGGATTGTCATGAAAAATGCCTCACGTGAACATGAAATTGGAAGAATATTAAGTTACATTTGAATTTATGAATTTAAATTTCTAAAATGAATTCTACAGTTTTATAGATTGATGACAAGCTTAGGTTTCAACCACCATCTGTTGTTTCAAAAACAGAAATGAGAGGTGATGATCATGATCTATGATAAAATGAACATCTTTGCTAATCTGGGCAGGATTATATATCTGATTCAGTGACATAAAAGGAAAAAAAAAAAAAAAAAAAATTCTCATCAATTGCAATACAGGAAAATCAAAATTGGTCCAACAAATAACAACTACTACTTGCAAGATCTCTTTGGAGTATTTCGCTGTTGTGTTGAATAGGAATGCTTTTACTTTTGTTCAAAAGAATGATCCTGACTTCAACTAACGAAAGTAAATACACTCCTTCTCTTACCACACTTTAAGTATAAAATAAATTTGCTCAAAAAAAAAAAAAAAAAAAGTGTAAAAAAATAATTGATTTCACAATAGAATCAAGAGGCCCCAGATGACTCAACGTCTACTACAAATATTTAGAAAATTGTAATGCATAAAAGCCAAATCTTTGTATCATTATCTTTGTCAACACAAACCTCTAAGAGTAGAGCTCAATGATAAGTTTGTTGACACTACTGGCACTGCCACTGTGATGAATGATAAGCAAATTGTATCAAGAAATGGTTGGGGCTGTTGCTGATGTCTGAAATTACGGGAATGAAAATCGCCAAAGTCTGGAAAATCAGAGTACATGGTCAGTTTTTTTTACCTGATTTCGTTTAATTTGGATGAGATAGCCAATTATGAACATTAGGTTATCAACCTGCATTTTTCCAAAGAGGGGACAACTAGATCAAATATGAGAGAGACAGAGACAGAAAATACAACTTACAAATCTTAAGCAGCAGTTGATCTTTGTGACACAAAACTATAAACAGAATTATTCTTTTTGCTTCACATGTGATACTCTCTGCACATTAATTCACAAACTTGATAAGGAAATGAAGAAAAAGAACAAAAGACAACAGAATGCTATATTGCCAATTTGCAGAAAAATGCAGGAATTAACTGGGAGAGTATGAGCACAACAAATTCTGAGTCTCTGTTGTTTTTCCATTTGCAAATTGGTTTATCGATGTCTACAAACTTTAGAGTGCTTGGTCTAGGACACTGCCTAAAGACACAAATTGATTTATAAATGTCAACAAACTTTGATGCTTCTTGCGTGAAGTATCCTAGACCAAGCACTTTAAACTAAGAACCGAGAGTAAGCTTCACATAATTCAAAATTCAAGGTGCCGAATATGGAATTTTCATATGTTTTATTGGCTCCCAATTGAAATGGGAAGATCAGAATGATTGGGTAACACAAACATTAAATTCTGAAACAGACTGAATTTTTTTTGGGGGGGGGGGAACTTAATACCTTAGAAACAAACATTATACCTCTCATATATATTGTAATGGAATTTTCAACCTTTAATCTTTCTCTTTGCCTGATCTCTTGTAATTTGGATGAGATTCCAGCTGATGTGAGAGTTCCTGCTCAAGCACCTATTTCCAGCAGGCTACCTTCATTCAATTCAAATATCAGATAGTGGTCACGCCAATTCTTATATTAAAGAAAGATTAGCGCTTGCTAATTATAAGAATGCCATACTTAATCAATTAGGGACAGAGGGAGAATACCACCTGCAAATTTTGTGCTGCACTTGATCTTTGTGACCCAAAACTATAGACAAAATTATTCTTTTGGCTTCACATGCAAAATAATCTGTACAAGAATGCAAGTTTCCTGATGAGTTAGGGATGACTTGAGGGGTTATTTAACTCTGTACATGAACCAAACTTGATTTGAAGATTAAACAGAACAAACAAAAACAAAAAGAAAAAAAAAAAAAAAAAGGCAACAAAATGCTATATGTAATTTGTTTGATGCTCCAAGTAACAGATCATATATTGACGTATCTCAAAACAAAGAAACTGACATATATAGCCAATTTGCAGAAAAAGGCAGGCATTAACAGATAAAATTTAAATTGAATTGAATTGAATCATACAATTTGAACTCCAAACAAGAACTACATACATGATTCCATCCTCCAAGTGGAATGTTGTGGCAAATTCATCGTTAGATTAATTGCCTCCTGCTCAAACTACCTCTGCACATGCAACAAATCAATATGACTGACCAAAGTGTTATAATTGGAAATGTCTACTCAACTCAGGTGACTTTTGCATACTCTAGGCAGCACGAAGCACTATGGCTTTTAGAATTAGTGATATACAAGATAGCATGGAAAACCTGTGTTTAAGGACATGTCATCTGAAGCAATGCTCTCAGGAACCCACAGTTAGCGCACCATGTCATTGTGAGTTTTAGATCATTTAGCTTCAGCAACTAAAATGAGATTATTTGAAATTGGAACATCAGAAAAGCGTTGGTTCAAAATTGAAACATGTTATTTCATCAAATCCCATGGATGATTTTTTAGGAGGGATACAAAAATCCTCAAATTTCAGGAACATTCTAATCAAACCTATAGATGATTTTTTAAGATGGATACAAAATCCTCAAATTTTAGAAACATTGTAATCAAACCTATAGATCATTTTTTAGGATGGATGAAAAATCTATAAAATTAAATTTTGATTAACATGAGCACAACATATGTACAATTACTATAGTTATGTAGTCCTATCATCTCAAGAACCAGGGATAGTGACTTAAATTGGTACAAAAGTCTAGGTGCCTCATACAAGCTCAACCTGGTATAAGAACATCGATAATCAACAACAGATAAAATTGAAATTGAATTAAACTAAATCATATGATCTGAACTCCAAACTAGAACTACATGCATATTTCAATCGTCCAAGTGGATTGTTATTGCAACTCCATCGTTACTTTAATTGCCTCCGACTCAATCTACCTTTGTACATGTTTTCTGAAGCTATATGCAACTTTCAGTGGCTTAATTGGACATAGCGCAGTTAAAAGCAATGCTCTCAGGAACCCACAGTTAGGGCACCATCTCATTGTGATATGTAGATCATTTAGCTTCATCAACTAAAATGGAATTAGTTAAAATTGGAGCATCAGAAAAGCATTTGTTCAAAATTGAAACATGTCATTTCATCAAATCCCATAGATGATTTTTTGGGATGGATACAAAATCCTCAAATTTTAGGAACATTCTAATCAAACCTGTAAATGATTTTTTAGGATGGATAAAAAACCCATAAAATTAAATTTTGATCAACACTGAAAATTGGCCTTTTGAATTGGCTGCATAAACGTAATAATTCCCATGTTCTGAAATCAAAGTTGACTAATATAATTAAATCGACATTTTTCTCTTTCAATTTTCTGAAACTTAGCGCATTATGTCTTTGTTAATAACAACATAAAACCAACATTTGTGTTATGAAGATGATGTAATGAAACATGCAAGAACGCTGGCATGCCTTCCTAAATATATATATGTATATTTTTCATTATGTATAGAAAATCAATATTTGACTCAAAGTTAAGCAAAAAATTTTTTTGAAGACTGGTTGATTATAGAAATTATTTAGGTTTTCACTTGACGAGAATCTTCAACTGACAAAGTTGAACTATTAAGCATGAAAATTACAAAACAAATAATTGAAATGACTAACAACCAACAAAGTTTGCATAACATTTCTCTGACATTGCAAAATCATGTGCACCAATGATTACCTCTTCTCCCTACATCGATTATTAATGGCCTGCACTAATTGATTGTACTGTTGGCAGGCAGTAAATTCAGCACTTACACATGAAGAAAAACCGAAACTCCTTGTAGAAGACCCTGGAACATAGCAATTTGTGTTAGGACAGAGATGTTAATAAAGGGAAACATATATATATAGAAAAACGTTATAAACTATTACATACTCATGGTTTAGTAAATCGTGTACTAGAGTCGAGATAAAAATGTATGATACATATAAAAATAAAATAAAAAAATAAAAGCTACATTAAAATTGATAGACTTTAGAGAGGGAGTGTGAGACCCCTAACTTTTGTAAACCCTATTAGGTCCCTTATTTTTAAATTATTTCTTTGAAATAGCTCCACTTAATTAATTGCAATTTTAACCCTAGGATCAAAATACATGCACCAACTGAAAACCCGCAAACCCTAATCGATTTCGGAAACTTGGAAATAATTTCAAATACTCCAATTGACTTTTTTCCGGTCTTTATCACGTTCGTCGGTTGATCGCGTTTTTGTTCGAAACAAGAAATTCAAACCGAATTAGATTCTCTAACCCTAACTTAGTTAAATTCTATTCTAAAATAAATGTTCCAATTCATAAATTAAGGCCTTAGCCCTCATATTTTACTTAAATCACAAATTGACCCCAAGTTAGTACCATTGTATATATATATTTGTACCTCTTATTCATCAAATATTTTTGTACACAATATCTATGGAATTTGTACACAAAATAAATAGTAAAATCTCCCCAAATCTTGAGCACGTGGCTAGCCATCATATCTCCTAGGCTATAATCATTGTACTTTAGTGTAAACAAATCTCTTGAAATCTTGGAGCAATGATGACCTTGGTACCTATAAAGATTTGCTATGAGTGTACTTCTAACTAGAAGGTATTTAAATTAGCCGTAAACCTAACTAGATCATAATTAAATGCACAAATAAGGTTCCAATACATGAGTTTAATTTCAAGCCCTCACTTCTTTTATTAATTTCAAGATTTGCCCCAAACTAGTACATGTACTTTTTATACTATAGTACCATCAAATCAATTTGTGGATATATCTATATACATTGGGAATATGTCCATAGTACTCAAAAATTGAATAAAATATTCCCCATTTCTCTTCCCCATGGCCGGCCAACCTAGGAGAGTATGAGGGACCAATTTTCAAGACTTGTAATTATGACATTCTAGAAGCAAAGTACCAAGTACAAGGGTTATGTTCCCAACCTAGTTCCATTCCAACTAGAGGCCAACTAAATCTTGTCTAATCACATAATTAAGTCCCCTAATCACTCCCTATTCCGTTAGACTCCAAGTCAATCCAAACTTTTCAATCCAATTCCAACTAATGGGCCTTTGTGTCTTTTCACACCAAATTTGCCTATATATACAACCACCCACTTAGCATAGCATACACAGACAACACACACACACACACACACACACACACACACACACACACACCTACATTCGACCTAGAGGAGAGAAAGGAGAGCAAGAGAAAAGTCTTGAGAGGGAGAGGAAGGAAGAGGAGAGCAATCTTTATTCAACTTGGCCTAGCCTAGCAAGTAAGCCACAACACAACTCTCTCTTTCATTTTTCTTTTTCAAATACATGCTCTTAAGGGTTCTAAACATTGTTTTCAAATGTTTTTTAATGATTTCCTTGTGTTAAAAATGAAAGGAGTTGAGCCCTGATTCTATCCTTCTTGTATTTCTCTTAATCGGTATAAGACTACCTTTTTCCATATCAATCTCTAAAAATTTTCAAAGGCACACCTTCACCTTAAATTTTTGAGTTTAATACATATTATTTATCATGTTTTTATCACAAAAGAAGTGGAAAATTTCCCCTAGTTGATCTCTTTTCTTACCAAATTTTTATTTTCAAGGACCATGCCAGAGAAATCTGTTTTTCATCCAACTTTCGAAATTTTTAGAAAAATGTAGAAAAATCTTCTGAACCTCCATTTTATTTAAAAATCTTCCTTAAGGAGTTATCTTCCAACTAAAATTGGTTTCATTGAAAATGAGTGAGCAATTTGTGAGAAACTCTAATTTTCGTAATGATCGACGAATCTGGACAGCGTTGGAACATTTCTTAAATAACTAAAAATATAGAAAAGCTATCACATTTCCAAAACATGTTCTGAAAACTAGATTAAATTCTCTACGAACCATAGGAAGGCCGGGTTCGGTAAAAATCTAAAATAGCCCTTTTGATTTTAATCTTTCAATGGTACTGAATCTGGAAATTTAGTTTTGCATGAGTGTTTTATGCTCTTGTGTACATGAATATGCTTATTAGTTTATGATCATGCCTTGGTATGGTATTTCATGTGTTATGGTTATGTTCCTTATCTTCTTCATTTTAATGATGCTCATGCTTATGTGGATATTACTATCTTGTTGAGTTTGTTCTAACTTGCCTTAAAACATTGATCCAAACGGAAAACTTAATTGGGGTGGTATTGGGTTTTCGATCACTTGAATAATGAAGAGATGATAATGTGTTATGTATGGATCGATGGGATGTGCTCCCTAATTGAAGTTTAAGACTTGTGCAAGCAGTTGTCGCGTAAACCCAAGAATGGAACAGACGTATTCGGATTCTTTGCGATGGTTTGATTGGTGAGATAAAGTTGGGTCCGGATGGGACATTCAGGATGATAAAATTTTTTTGGAAGGATAAGGTTGGATTCAGGAGATAAAACCTTTTTCTTTTCGTTGTTCCTTTTGAGGCCCTGCGGTTGGCGCTACGTGGTATATAACCGTTGGTAGGCATCCGAGGTTAGTTCTGCGACAAAGCAGCAAAAATGGGAGTTTCGAATAGTCCGGTGTCCAATTCTTGTGGTTGGGAGGATGAAATCTCTTTGGGAGATTTCTAGAATACTAACCACTAACATTATAACCTTTGTTATCTATTTGAATGACATGTTCCTTTCCTCTATTACTGAAATTGTTGTTATTGACTTGAATATCATGCTTCACTACTTGCTTGCTATAAATGTGATGATGTATTGGATTGGGAAAAAGGGATGGGTGTGTGTGCGTTTACTGGGCATTCAAAGCTCATGGCGTTTCATGCCAGGTATTGAAGACTATTAGACCGGTCGAAGGCAAAGCTGAAGCATTTGAGAATGTACGGCTACCCTAGGAGGATTAGAAACTAGTTTGTAAACGTGTTTTGAGATTGTAAGTGATAGATCCTATGTTGTATTTAAGACATGATTTTGTAACTTGTACATATATAACATTTGTAACCTATCCTCATACTCCGTCAATTCATGTAGGCCTTGTGTTAATACCTTGTCAAGATCTGTCAAAAAGGTAGATTTGCTATCTAAAGGTGGTTGGACTTTGAAGGGAGGCTATTTTGACTCTTTCGACCTTCCTGGGATCTTGCTTGGTTATTAGCCAAAGGACTCATTAGTGACGTTTCCTACTCTTGTAACCTTAGATAAACCCTGTATTTAATAGTTAATATATTATCTGATGTTCCCGATTTTTGAGGCGTCACAAAGAGAGAGAGAGAGAGAGAGAGAGAGAGAGAAAGGGGTTTTAATTAATTAGTTATTACATCATTTTCAAGAATTAATTAATTATTTGTTTGGTTGGAGACACAGAGGAGAGGACTTAGGTAATTGGCAATAAACTTTTTTATGCTTCATCTTGAAGAAGAAGATTAGTCATTTGCAGAGGAAACCATTACACTTGACCTGAAACCCAAAAAAGGGTTAGTGAGATAAAGGAAAGGAGCAAACAGCATTGGGAATGTGGGGGATGGGGGTGAGATGAGAAGAGAAGAAAAGAAATCATGAATATGGATAACAATTGGAGAAATATATAAGCTACCTTCAAATCTACACAATGCGGATGGATGGAATATGGACAATCTTGTGCCATTCTTGGCCACTTTTCGTTGCGCATCTTTCCTCTAGAAGGGGACAACCACCAATTGTCAAAGATTGTAAATTGGTGAGGCGTTGCATTGCTTCCATGGTGGGAAGATTCATCAAATAGTGGCACCAACAAAGCTCCAAAGAACAAACAAATGAAAGGTTACCCAGCCACTCCGGCAGAGCTTCCAGTCCATCAAAAAAATAAATTGACAAGTGTCTCAAGGTAGTGAGGTGCTGATGTTGATCAGGCAGATACTTAACCCTTTCCCACCCATATATATAGATTCAGAGACACCGCAGAGATGAAGGGGTAGTGTTTGTAAATTGGTGAGGCGTTGCATTGCTTCCATGGTCAACATTCGAAGCAACCTATCGTCAACATTCGAAGGCTGGTCAGGCAAAAGAGCCTCTCCTCCCAACAACCTGCCAATCTTGGGCATCCATCAATCCTCAAGTTCTGAAAGGATGTGAGGCTGCGTAATTCATCTGGATTGGCCATTATTAAATTTGGACACCTTTCTATCCCTAGTGATTCAAGGGTTTGTTGTAGCAGACCCTTTGGTAAACATGCCAATTCTTTGCACCATGAAATCCAAAGAATCCGAAGAGATGTTAAGCCGCTGCAATTGGACGCTTCTTCTTCTGTTTCTTCAATTATACATCTTAGATTTGGGAAAAATTCTATCTCTAAGTCCTCAAGAGACGCAAGGTTTTGGAAGTCATTTGGCAACTACTATAACATAGCTCTTCCAATTTACGTAATGTCAGCTTTGTTAGGGTTTTGCCACTTTTTTCCAATAAATCTACCAGCAAAACTTCAATCTCCAATTTCAAACAATGATGTACCTCTATTCTCGAGCAAGAGCGACGCTTATCCGGTAGAAATTTAGATGGAAATCCACAAATAATCAACTCCTGTGCGGGTAACAAATGACTTGGAATTGTAATAACCTCAGGGAAATTTCTAATAAATAGTTACTCAAGCAGAGGAAACAACATCGTGGTGTCCGACGATGATGATGATACCCCAAGCCTACACCATTCTTCTATGTTTGGCATATCATCTAGAAGAAGTTCTCTCAGTGCTGGAAATACAACGGTCGCTGCTTTTGCTGTTGTTGCCGTTGTTTCTGCCTCACTACAGCTACCAAAAATGAAGCCATCATTATCATGATTAACAACACTGTGACGACCATAGAATTCAGGACCAATACGTTTCAGATTACTTAATCCAGACATTCTAATAACCTCAAGATGCAGAATGTGTCCGAGTCGTGTGACTTGTTCACATCTCGTGCACTCGGATAATTCTATCTTAACCAAATTTTGAAGCAACTGCACATCCCTACCACTCATCATCCATGATGCAAAATTTTGTCCTTCAAATTTCTGGAGTTTTAAAATCTTAAGGTTCCCATGAGGTTTAAGTCCTTCCAACACGTCTTCGTGGTTAATGCTAGTAGTGTGTCCTGCTGTTGAAGGATGGCCCACCCTATCCCAGTGAAATCCCAACTCACAAATGTTTGGTTTTCCTAATATATTTTCCTTTTCTGCTTCTTCCCTACTTTTCACCTGTCGGAGATTGTAAATCATTAATTTGCCTCTTAGTTTGCTTAAGCTACCTAGCTCTTCAATTTTTAGGCTCTTATCTTCACCCACAACAAAGAATGGTATTGTCTGTAAAGAAGTCAACTTCTCTGTCATCATTGGCATCAATTCCCTATTTTTTTTGTGTCATCAAAACAAAAATGTCTCAAGCTAACCAACTCATAAAACTTTTCTGGAAGCTTTTTGAAATGGGTAAAAGATGGAACTCTCAGTGTTTGCAAATTGTAGAGCTTGGTGATAAAATTTGATAGCGTTTCAATATGTGACCTTGAGAGATCTAGATATCTCAAATGTATGAACTTACGTGACGAACTTTGCAATTCTTCCCCAAGAAATGGCAAACTCAGGGCATGTATACATTCGATTTTTGCAATGTTTTTAGGGAGATTTTGTTTTAAAAGTAATGTTCTCAGTTTTCCAACATTTTCTTTTGGAAATTTGAAACTTATTTTTCCCCTTAAATCTAATGATAGATGTTGAACCTCGGGATGATAGTTCACCTCACCAGCAATCCAAGGCAAAGACAAACAGTTACCCTCTGAGACATCTAGTGCCAGATCATACATTTTGCAACAGATAATATTATTGTACACATCTAGTTTAATGTTTTGGAATAAAGAATTGTGCAACAAAATATTAAAATAATTGTTACCAACATCTTCCATTTCCAAATTACTTCCCGAAGAAGGCTAGAGATATCCTTGAGCCATCCAAAGTTGAATCAACTCATCCTTTTGAATGTTGAAATCTTTTGAAAAAATAGAACAACATGCAAAACAGTGTTTCAAATATGGTGATGGTAAGTGATCAAAACTTAACCTTAATATCGGTTGAATTCAATTTTTAATTTTAGTTGAGCTCCATATTTCACTGTTTTCGATCGAAACCCATTCGTAATTGTATTGCTTAGAGTACATTAAACCTCCTAATGACTTTATTGCCAATGGTACACCCTTACACTTTTTCACCATTTTTCTACCAATAGCCACCAAATTTGGGGTCTCTGTTGGTCCTCCATTTGCAAATGCTCTTTTTCGAAACATGGCCCAACTTTTATTTTCTGATAGTTGGCTCAAAATGATGAGTGAGAGATGGAGATGTCCTCATTGTAGATACCACGTGCATACTCCTGGTTGTAGCTATAATTTTGCTTCCCTTGGATCCACCTATTCCTAGCAAAGAATTTCTCATGCACTCCCACTTGTCTGCAATTTCATTCCAAACATCATCTAGTACAAGCAAATACTCTTTTCCATATAGTTTTTCTTGAAGCATTCTCACTATCCCTTCAATATTTTCCATCTCACACTGATTTCGAGTAAGAGATTGAACCATCTCATTCAATGACCTTTTAACTACGAAATCATTAGATACACAAATCCATATCCTTTGATCACCAAAATACTTCACCACCTTCTTGTTCTTGTAAACTAGCTGGCCTAGGGTTGTCTTACCCATCCCACCCATTCCTACAATGGCAATGATAGATAAATCATCTCCACTGTCATAGGAGCCAATTAACATGTCTATCACAGTTGATACGTCACCATCCCTTCCAACAACTTGTGAATCATCTACAAAGGGGTGAGTCAGCCTGAAATTCAAATCTCTAGGTTTAACATTGGTACTAGCAGCATTTAAGAGCTGATCAGCTGGTTTAAGATCGATGTCATTTGCTTCTTTGCAAATCAAGTCTAACATTGAATTGATATCCTTGACCTTATGAGCCATCTTGAGACGAAATGCCAATGGATTCGAGAGAGAAAACAAATTGCGTACCTTGTTTCTCATTCGGTTTTTCACCTCCAACTTTCTTCGAAGAGCTTCGTATGCAAACTCATCAAGCACATTCTCAGCATCACAAGTTACAAGCTTGAGATTCTTCAGCCACTCCCGCATACTTGCTGATGTTATTCTCTGGTTCTCAGCATCACTTAACAATGATTGAATGAGTATCAACCTTCTGCGGAGGGTTTCGAGATCTTCCTTGAAACCCCACTCCAGTTTGATCTGTTCGGAAGCAAGTGGAATGAAGTTATTGAGGATCACTTGAGCAGCAGAGATGACAACAGGGGCAGCCATCTTTGATCTTTCTTTTTCCTTACAATTCCCAAGGAAAACTTGGATTGGATTGGATTGGAAACACTTACTAGAGAATACAAAACAGATTTTTGTGTTGTGAAGCTGGAAGGTGTTGGGAAGCTTCGAGCTATATCATTTCTCAAATAATTGAGAGATAATAACATATGGGGGTGATGGGTGCTATCTATGTTTCTCTATATTCTATTCACAAGTCTTTAATTATTGGGAAAAATAAATGGGACAGGGCTGTTTGGAGTAGTAATTTACAGATAGATCAGTGGTGAACAGTTTGAAATTTCAAATTAAAAAAATAATAATAATATTTATTAAAAATTTTGAATCTTTCAACTCCCTCTTTTGTAATAGAGCATCTCCAACATGTCAGCTTTTTCAACAAGGACAAATATTTCTTTTATCAAATTAAAAACTCGCCAAATATCTTTCATTAAATCTAAATTTAATAAAAAATTAAAATAAATAAATAGATATAATTTTTTTCGTCAAATTTGATAAAAAAATTTAAAAATAAGAAAATAATTTTTAAAAAATGATAAAAAAATTAATAAAATAATGAAATAATTCTTATGAAATCATACAATTCACTTAAATTTAAAATAAGATTAGTAAAATATTGAAGATAATCTCAACTTATCTGTCTTGCATCATCATAACTTTTTAAGTCCTTCAAAATTTGGTGAAGGCAAAACCTTAGAGCATCTCCAATGTCTTTTTTTTTTTTCATTAAATTTGAATAAAAAATTTGAGTAAAGTTTGATCAAATATCGAGCGTTCCAATAGAGATTTCTTAATTTTCATCAAATCATTGGTCGACTGGGAGGACAACCAGGAGGATGTCCGGCTGGTCTACCAGCCCGTGTAAATTGCAAAGAAGTGGATGTCTGAGGGGACAATCGGCCAATTGTCCGATGCTCCTACACTAACGGCTATCTACAATAATTTGGTAAAAGGTTTTAGGCATCCTCAATTTGATAAAAAGTTTAAAACATCCTCAATTTGATACCAAACTGATGAAACTGTTAGAGTACCATTTTCATCAGTTTTAATGAAGGGTTGGAGTTGCTCTTACAATTAATTAATTAGATACAATCTAGTTGTCTTAGTGGGGGTAACGTGGAGTCTAAGGGTGTGTTCCCTCTAGATCTTAAATTCAGTTTCCATTAGGAGCAATCTGTTCCTTGGGATCACGCCTGCTGGCTTTGCTCGAGATTTGCCTGACCCATGTGGAGAGGCACTTTGCTTGAGTCCCGAATTAGTCGAGGTGTGCGTAAGTTAATTCAGACACCCGGTCTTCAAAAAAAATAAAATAATAATTGGATACACATCTAGTAGAGAAGACCCACCAACATCATCCTCCATCTTCTCCTCCATCGGACATCACTCCTCCAAATTAATTGAGATTCTCGTACATATATGGCAGAGAAAACATTAATTTGTTTAACTTCCAGGGAGATCGATTATGACCCCCATTAATTGATCCCCTTTGATCCAATGTTGTCAAGGCTCATCTCACCTCAAAAACAACAAATATGAAATTGGTAAGACCCGTTTGGAATGAATGTGTTTTAATCAAAAAGTCACTTTCATATAAAAATTTATTTATCTTTCATTTTACTTTTTTACATATCCTTTCGGAAAAATTTAAAAATTAAATCTAAACAACAAACTCAAAAAATACAAAAACCCCTCCATCAAGTTCTTCATCACTCATCAGCAGCTTTGCCTCGCCCCGACTCGACTAGGCATTGAGTTTAGTCATGCTGTGGTTTGGTGTGACGATTTTCTACCGTTGGATCGTTAGAATACGCGTGGCATGTTTTTATTTGGGTTTGTTTGCTTGTATCTTGATTTGGTTTGGTGCTTAACGAAAAACACAGACGCAGTAGTGAATTAATTTAAGGGTTTTGTTACCTTACGACAAATGATAACAAAGTTCAAAAGTATTGTACATTTTCTTATTACATTTACTTTTATGTATAACGTATAAACAAATAAAATATTTTAACATATGTGCTAAGGATACACTAATAAAAATCTTAATCTAAACCTGTTTACAAAATGAATGAATAAATAATAATAATAATAATAATAATAATAATAATAATAATAGTGAATTAAATCCATCTCTGGTATATGGTGAAGGTGAGAATTTAGAACTTCTAATACTCAGTCAATTTATTTATTTATTTATTTTTTAGGAAGTGCAAAAAAGGTGGACTTTTTATTTATTACAAAAGCATATGTAAAAAAATAAAAAAGTGATGTGATTTAAATAAATCAATAAATTAATAAAGTGGCTTTTTTAATACTTTCCAAAAGAAGCCTTGGGCTTCATTTGGGATGTGGGTTGATTTTTTTGGATTTTTAATTATTTTAACCAAGGGCTAAAAAATCTCATTTAGGATGGACTATTTGGTTTTTTTGACTTTTGTGAAAGAAAAAATGAAATGATTATGGTTTGAATGTGACATTTTTGTCTTGTTGACCTTTTTACCTATTTTATTTTTTTGTGACTATTTTAGCCCTTTAGCTCCAAAAAATCTCATGTCAAACGAGGGCTTAGGGGAGATTAAAAACTTATTTTATATATATATATATATTTCAAGTTCTATTTTAAAATTGTAATAATTTTTTGAACAAGTTTATCCTTAAATTAATTATAACAAAAAGTCTTTGTAATTGTAAGGAAGATGAGAATCTTGGGGATTTTTTTTTAAGATCTCTGATATTAAGATTTTATAGCATAAAGGACACTTAATATTTTCATAATGTCTAAGGTCTCTCAATATCGATCTAGAGAAAATTCGATCTAGAGAATTTCTCGAGACAAATCATAGAGAAAATTCCAAATTTCTCTAGACACAGCACAGAGAAAATCTCACCAGAGAATTTATCTGGATTCAAGCAAGAGAAATTTACTCAACCCTAGAGAAAATCCCCTCCAACTAGATAAATTCACTTGTGTTGCCTACAGTTTGATGGCTTCAGTGATTTGGATGCATATTCACAGAGAAAATCTCACTGGAGAATTTCTCTAGATTCAATCTCGAGAAATTCTTCAAAACCAGAGAAATTTTCTATATCACCCAAAAAAAAAAAAACACCACAACCCGAAAACAATGGCTTGAATTATTGAATGTCTCTGCAACTCTTTGCAGCATCCATTCATCCATCAATCCCAAAAACCCAACTCAATCAAATCTACAATTAATCAACTTAACGCCCTTTTTCCTCCCTTCTTTCCTTTCTACACAACAACCATCATCCCACAATCTCTCTCTCTCTCTCTCTCTCTCTCTCTCTCTCTCTCTCTCTCTCATTTTGGAGTTTGGATCTCTAACCGTGGCAAACCAACACCACAAGCACTTTCTTTCAGGAATTCAATCTTCGCTCAAAGATATATCTCATTGAATTGTAAATGCCTTTGTATGCATTCATTATCTGAAATTTCTTATTTGCATCTTCTGCTACTATCTTTAGAATTAGAAATGCTAATTTATTTGGACTGCATTCTATCTTTATGATTATGGGATCGTTTGTTTTGTAAGAAAATGAAGGAAAATGATCTTAATTTTCTCATCTCGCAAAGTTCTGTTTCTGGGTTCTAATCAATGAAACAACTAACTCTTCAAATAACCCTATTGATTTTATTAGGTTCCTTTTTAATTCTGTTTTTGGTCTTTGAAATTTCTCTGGACACTTCAACCCAGAGAAATTCTTCAAAACCAGAGAAATTCCCCCTCTACCCCAGATAAATTCACTCAAACCCAGAGAAAATCCCCTTTCAACCCAAAGAAATTCACTCAAACTAGAGAAAATTCCCCTCTCTGACCCAGAGAAATTCATCCTCACAATATTTTCTGCTTGAAAATCATAAACCTCAGGCAAAATGTGTTCCATGGTGCACAAGAACAAAATAAATAAATTGATCAGAACAAAATACTAACAAGTCGGACAAAACTCATTCAATTGTTTATAAGAAAAATAAATAATAGAAATTACTTACAAGAAATTTACTAGGCAAGTCAAGAGACAATAACAAAGCATCATCCATGTGAAGGTCCTCAAGCTCCAAGCATTTCATAGTGTCATCTCCTTCATCTTTTGCATTACGAATTTTAGTCTCCACAATTTCCACCACATTCAATTTGGTAACATTCACATCTGAGCCTCTACCACCAGAATCGTCTGCCACTTCTTGTGCATCCAAATTAAAATCAATATCAACACATATTAATGAAGCCATACTTTCAACCAAACCTAGAACTTGCTCCAACTGTTTGCGGGCATCGGAGAGTCTAAACGTCCAGGCGTGGTAGGAGGGGAGGACGTAGGAATCCTTGGCCATGAAATCAAAGGTAAGTTCTCCGGTGAAAATCGGCAAACTTGTGGAGATCAATGAATCCATCACTGTCGCCGTCAATCTTCAACATTACTCGCTGGACTCAGATAGAGATAAATATGGGAAATGAGAGAGGCATGGTGATGGTGATTGGAAAGAAAGAGAGAGAGAGAGAGAGAGAGAGAGAGAGAGAGAGTCAAATTTATCAATGGACGTAGGTTCAGGGACCTTGAACATCAAAAAACAATATTATAGATCTCTTCCATTACTAAAAATAAGAGAGGGACCTTAGACTAATTTTCCTGGGAATCTTTACCTACAAAAATAATGAAAGATTAATCAAGGAAATCATGTTATCCTAACAAAGTGGTACTCAAAGCTACCCAATAATTTTTCCCAGATGACACTCACACTCTAAAGGCATGTTTGTTTACTAGTATGGAGGGTTGGATTGGATTGGTATAGCTATGGGTCCTTCACCCATAGCTTGTTTGGTGATGATTTGGGAGGGGGAATTTACAGTGAGGGATTTAGTAATCCCCCTTAGTAAGGGGATTAACTTGGTTGAGTTTGGATGGAATTAAGAAAATAATGAGTGAATTGAGAAAAAAATATTTTTTTTTAATTTTATTTTATTTAT